GCCCTCCGTCGGCCGCCTGCTCGCCCTGCTGCACCAGCTCGGCCGCCGCGACGTGATCGCCGACCTGCAGCCCCGCATCGGTGAGCGCCCGCCTGTCCCTGCCCCCTGGTCCTGCTCCTCCCCATCCCTCCCAGCTGGGTCCTTCCGGGGGCAGCCCCCTGTCTCCTCCCCACCTGCTGCTCCCCTTACCCCTGGCGGGATGGAGGCTGGAGGCGCATCTCCTCTTCATCAGCAGTGTAACCTCACACTGGGACGGCGGTGGACTTGGACTACCGCAAGCTGAGAGGTGTAGCACAAGCATTTGTAAGCAGAGGGCTGCTTTCCTTAGCTTCTGGAAAAAGCAGAGCTGCTAAATGGATCAGAGCGGCGTGTAGAATAGCCCGCTCCGTGTTGTCGGGCATTGTGAAAAGCTGTGCTCCTTGATTCGGTGAAGGACGCGCCGTTTGCCCCGGGTTACGTTCGGATCGAGGGTAGGTTGTATTACGGAGTACCTCCTTGGTGACGTGCAGAAAGGAAAGACAACCAGCAGGCCGGTGCGTTTGGTCCAACAACGCGCACAAACAGCGAGCGTTGTTTCCATTGTGGCTGGGATAGGATCTGCTCTACCATCGTGGGTAACTGCAGTATCAGTGCTGTCTGGTTTCTTCTATGGTGTAGACGTTCCAGATTAGTCCCTGGAAAAGTTGACGCAGACAGCAGTCAAATGGGAACTGCCGAAGCTGAGCTGGGGTTCACCTGCTCGTTCCTCCTTATGGTTTGTAGTCGGGTGGAGCAGGGCTGGCTTTGCAACCTGAACTGAGAGGCGACCGCCTCTGTCAGGTTGCTTAGCTTCCTTTTGGGATGCTGCGTTGAATTTTCCTTTCTTTTGAGAGAGAGAATTTGGGGCCTGACCATCGGTGACACGTTCCCTTGACATTTGGAGGATACGGTTTCTTTCTCTGGGCTACTGTTGCAGCACAGAAGATCCCCAAACCTGACATGGTAAAGGTACAGGTTATGGGGCTGCTTCCACAGCACACTTGGTTGTCAAGGGGGGAAGGAGAATCTCCTGTTAGTGTCGGTCCCACAAATTCACCTTTTTCTGTTTTACACAGAATTGCTCAGGATAAAGTTTCTCTGGCTCAAACAATGCCTTCTAGCAGCATTAGCCATGAGAGTGCTGCACATGGGGCATGGCCTAAAAGTAAGGGGCTTATGTTGTGTATTGGGGGGGGGTCTTATTGGGCAGGTAGAAACTTTTTTGGTGGTGCTGTGCTGTTTGGAGAGAAGTTTGTGGGCTTGGCTAGCAGGAGAAAAAACTTTTATTTACAAACTTGGCAAATGAGATCAGAGAATCAGGAAGAAACTTGGAGCCCCACAAAAGCCATTTTACAAAGCATTTGTAATGCTTCACTCACACTCTAAGTGCAAAGAGAAACCAAATGTAAGAGCCCTGGACCGGAAGTGTAACCAAATATTTCTGGAGTCTGCTGTGACTCATAAGAAATCCTTAAAGTCGGGTGCCTTGTACATAAAGTGTGTTGCGTAAATCGTGGGGAAGTAGAAAACTTCATTTCCTGTTACTTGCATTAAAAAAAAATCAAGATGGAGAATGCTGATTTAAAAAAAAAAAAGAGGATCAAGATTGTTTGGTTATTCAGCACTTTTATCCAGCACTGGTGCCTCTTTTACCAAACCAGTTACCTACTGTAGAAGATGGCAGGCTCCTGCTAGGTTTTTGGGTCCTCAAAACGCATGTCTGATCCGTCCTTTAAAATAAATACTGAGAGCGGCATGGTCCACAGTTGTGTCCTCTGTTTCCTTCGAGGTGCTTCCAGCTGCGTGCACTTGTGTTTAAAACTGAACAGATCTTGGACTTCAAGTGCTTTTAGTTCTATCGCTGCTCTTAATGTAGGAAATGATCTGGTTTTTCTCAGCACGTCAATGTCCAATATTTTTTCCAGGAAAAGGTATCCAGAAAAGATCCCTCCCTGAAGTGTACAAATGATGTTGTATGGAGTGGTTTTAGCTGGCTCCTAAGTTCAGGAAGCTCCTAAGCTTTGCCCAGCTCAGGATCACACTGGCAAGTTTTTCTGGAGTCTGCAGCTCTGGCCTGATCCTGCGATACTTACTGAGCACCTCCGTCTTACGGAGGTCAATGAGAGATGGGGGCATTCGGGATCAGATCCCTCGTTTTCATTAGAATGAATGAAGGATTGCAGCCGTGTCTAAAGGCTTAACTTCAGTACTAGAGCTGCTGCTTGATCTCGGGGGTCTTGTGCTGTGTGCTGGGACTGATTGTCTCTTTGAGACAAGACTGATCCATGTACTGAATCTCTAGGACTGCTTGGGCTGTGGCTGGTACTTCAGCACAAATCTGCCCCACTCCTTCCTTCGCTGTGGGGCAGATGCTCCAGTCCCTCTCTGCATTATGGCAGTAATGCATGTCGCCGTTGCTGGAGAGCTGAAGTTTTCCCTTTCTAGCCATTCTAATTCTGCGCGATCTGCCTTCGCAGGGTCTTCCCTTCCCGAACTGTCCTTTGAGTGCTAAAGCTATTTACCTTGCTATGTTTATCTCAAACCTTCCATGCTGAACCTCATTAGTTTTGGTTTTCTTGCTGACTAGTGACTAAAACTGATATGTGCCTGCTTAATAATTCATCTCCCTCACTTGTCTCTTTTTTTTTTTCCCCCCTGACACTGAAGCAGCAGAGAGAATTTTTTACCCTTTTCCTCTGCGGTTTAATGTGTCCATCGTTTTTGCTCCATTCCTTCAGGTTCCCTAATGAAAGCAATCGCACTGGCTACCTTTTATTTGAAGACCCAAGCAAAAACCTGAAATAGAGGCAATCTGTCCAGGCTGTGTGGGGGCCGTGGCTGTTTTGCTTCACAGGGCATCTTGCAATCTTGTCCACTTGGTTTTGGTTCTTAGTGTTGTATCCCAAGAGGTTAACTTTGACTCTTGGGTGCTAATTAGCCTAAAAACTCAAACTTAATTGGAATGTCTTCTTTGGAGTCTAAGCTGTGCAAAACTGCCAAAACTCATCCTGGGAACTACTTAATGCCAGGTCCAGTGCAATAGCCCTGCATTTTGCATTTGTAGCAAAACTGTGAAGGTGTTAGCACAGGGGTGGGCAAAATGCGGCCCATGGGCTGGATGCGGCCCACCAGGCCATTGTATCTGGCCTCCAGGACCCCTAAAAAATTTAGAAAATTAATATTTATCTGCCCCTGGCTGCCTGGCATGCGGCCCTCGATGGCTTGCCGAAACTCAGTAAGCGGCCCTCCACCCAAAATAATTGCCCACCTCTGTAGCAAGTCTGGTATTTGATTCTGAAAACTGTCTAGTGTTGAAAGTTTGTTGCATAGAGATATTCAAGCATTGGACTAGGGCATATTCGGACCACTGACTGAGTAATGTGTAAAGTATATACCTATCTGAGCATTACAGATAACTCTGGATAGGCGAGAGTTATTTGATATGGACTTGTGGGTGCTGGCCATGAATGATGTTCCTGTAGGATCTAAAAGCCAGTCTTAGGACATTTAGGTCAGATCACTGTATATTTCCTTAATACACCAGGGAAGGAAATATGCTTTAAATACTGCATTTGTCATCTCAATAACCCAAAGAGACTTACTTTATCCAGTCCTCTCTTTTTGCCGTCTCAACATTTTGGCTTTTTACTCTATTTTATAGCTTTCCAATGAATCCCCCCACCCCCCAATTACTCTAGATCTTACCAGTAATAATGTTCCCAGAAGTTTCTCTGTTGTTTGGCCCTCACCAATTAGTCTCATTACAAACAGCAGCAAGCCACCATGTCAGAGCCGGGACCCAGGGCCTTCCAGAGGGAAAGGAACATGTTACATCTGGTTCAAATTAACATAGAAACAATAAAATGAATTGCCTGTGTGGCACAACAGCATTTGCAATCCATTAGCTTGTCTCACATTGTGCTAGTTGTTTGTATGTTTGCACTTCATTGTCAAAGCTTGTTAGATAGTATTTAGTAGTTTTTTATTCCCTTACCCGTTAGCACAGCCCTGCGCTGTGGTTGCATCCATTGCAAGCGAATTTTATCAGCCCCCCAGAAACCTGGTTTTCACTCTGAAAATAAAGCTAAGCTGGTCTGTCACAAACCTGGCTCCATCCGGCTCCCCCTGCTCTAAAAGCACGTGTCTCTTGACGTGAGCTCCAGGCGATGGTTAAGGAGTTGCTAGACTGCACGCAGCCCTGCTCCGCTGATTGTCTGGGCTCTTACATGACTCTTCTCATCTAAATGCCTGATTCTGCAGCCAGTTCAGAGTAACAAACTCAGATAGGATTTTTTTATGAAGACTTAAAACTCTGCCCCAAGCTTTGGATTTCGGCCCTACCCTACTTGATGTTGTTTGCATGAGTACCTGAAGGCGAACCCGGGGTAACCATCAATGAGCACAGGCTGCGCGGGTGCTGAGACCAATGGAGTCACTGCCCCGGTGATGACGTTCATAAGCATGGCAGGTGCTGCTCAAAAAGAGCAACTCCATCCATCCTACAGCACCTTTAGCTTGAGTCCGTCACTGATCACTACTGAGCAATTAATGTTCCTTAATAAATTCAGTTTCTTGTAAATCTCTTTAGCTTCCAAGCAGCTGATGGCCTAGAGACTTTTTTAATTACCTCCTGAAAACTAATTATTCCACTTTTCAGCAGCCTCATAAGGGCCTTTTGGGTTTCTTGCAGAAGAGGACTGTAAGAAGTACCTGGAAAAGAAAAAGCAGCAGGCACCCCCCCCTATCCAGCACCCACCAGTGGACAGCAGCATCCCGAAGACATCAGAATTATCAGGCATCACAACCCAAGACGATCCCTTCGGTAAATGACTGGTTTATTACTTTATAATAACTCGTGGTGCTAGAGCGGGCCTTTGATGCAGGAGGTCTTAGTGAGAGATACTGGGGTTCATTTTCCTCCCTTTATTCTCTGTGTCCTTCCCTTAACGTAGACACATATAGGCCATCCTGACCGAGAGGGGGGTAGCATTGAAATAACTCAAGAGAGGGAGGAGGGGTAGTACCAGGGATGTTGTCAATGGCGATTAGAGAAGTGGCTTTGTGGCCAAGTAGGGGAGTCTAAGGCCAGTGCAGTATAATGTTTAACCGAGTCCCCTTTGTGTAGAAGCTCTTTGTGCATGTAACTACTTTCTTCTCACTTGGAAGGAGACCTTTTCTGGGTTAGTGGGCCCTGGTCCTGGATGCAGATCCACAACAGTTTGAAGCCACTACAGATGAGCAAAGACATAGGGACCTTCCTCTGTAAATGTGGCTTTGGTATCTGGACCTTGCATACTTCTTTTTTCCTACTCTACTTCTTTCCTACTCTGTTTTTAGGGTCTGACATAATGGCCTCAACATGCTGGTATAAAATAGTGGAGAAACTGCCCAATAGATTTCAGGCACCCAGTTGTGAAAAATGTTGTCTTTAAGACAAGGTACCTGGATCTGTAGCTGGGTGTCAAGGAAGTACATACACGTCAGTGAGACCTGCTGTTGGCCAACCTTTCTAAGAACTGGGTCACTTCCTTAGATGTCTCACTGAAGGTCCTGAAGTTTGAAAGAGCCAGTTTGTGTGCCAGCCATGCATAGTATGTGAGGCAAGCATGATGTACGTGACACCATTGCTAACAGTGGGTGTAATGACTGACTTCCCTGGATGAGCCGACTGCAGAGATTGAACTGTTGATCTGTGGGTCTAGAAGCAAGAGTCTCTGTGGCCGGAGCTAAAGAGTGAGGGCTCTGATTCTCAGTGTCTTCTGGCATCAGGCACCCCCAAGATCAGTGTATAACTTTTTGGATCTGACCGCAGGTTCAGGACCTCAAACACTGCCATATAAATGTCTAAAAAGAGACAAGTTACTTGGGGGCAAGGTTAGACTACACTGCGCTAGTGTGGGGTATGGAGTGATGAATGAAGGGCTCCAGTCACAGTGCAGAGTGCAGGAGGTGGGTTGAGTTAACTCCGTACTGAAATTGCCTTCTGTCCAGGGAACGAGCCGGAGCTGTTCGATGCTTTTATCTGCTACTGTCAGAAGGACATTGAGTTTGTGCAGGAGATGATCACAGAGCTGGAGCAAACAGAGTTCAAGCTGAAGCTGTGCGTCTTTGATCGGGATGTCCTGCCAGGGTCGTGTGTGTGGTCCATTACCAGTGAGCTCATAGAGAAAAGGTAAGCAAGCCGGCTCTGCCAAGGGGGATACTGGAGAAGTTCATGTTCTCCAGCTCAGGGCTGTGGTGAAACCAAAGACTCGCTCCTTTGGGGGCCAGATTAGCACCCTCATGTAGAAGAGTATGCAGGATGGGGCAGCGAGGCAGGGACACTTCACAATGGTGTCCTGCTGGACTGTCCTCTTTGTCATCTCCTCAAGAGAGAAGGAGTTAGGCCGTCCCAGGGGAGAGACATTATGCATCACACTCCAGGTCCCTGCCCTCACTTGTGTGCCGTGTACAGCCTGTGATTGCTCCAAAGCAGCGGTGATCCAGGAGGAGTTAGAGCAGGTCCAACTTGCACCAGCTTCTGCCCGCACGGAAATCAAAAGGCAATACTTCAGGCCATGGTTCTGATCCTGACCCTACAAGTCCTTACAGACATCACAGAGGTTGAGGAAGGAGTGGGTGGACCATAAGGGAACTCCTCGCTTCATGGTGACAGGAGGAGACCTGCTTGGAGAGAGACCCACTGGGTCATCGAACAGCTCTGGCTCACTAACTTTATCCGGTTAATTTTCCTCCTCATGGGGCATTCTGATACCCGTTATCTTTCTGGATGACTAGTCTAGCTACTTGCATAGAGGGCAGGACCCTGAGGATAGCTTAGGAACACAACCTGCTTATCTCCTCCCTGGGACTCTGGTGACACATGGACAGTTTAAGGCAAGATGCTTCAAGCGAGTGTAATTAGTAGAATGAGGATGAGCTTAACCATTATGAGATCTGGTGGTTCCTTGGCTCATTGGCTGTTGCAGAATTTGGTGTTTCCAAGCCTTTAGCACTTAAACATACTCCTAAGTATGACCGATGCCAAGCCAATAGTAGAGCTTGCATTCATGAATGAAAGACTCCATCGTTTTGCACAGACAAGCTTCATATTGGCATTTCCTAACTTTTGAAAACTTTGGCTTCTGTAACCTTAACAAAGTTGTTTTAACAAAGTTTTGTTTTGTGCAATCAATATATAGCTGCAATGCTCCAATGATTAGATGTGCTGGGTGTATGCTATATGTGGCTGTAAAATATCAGCATTTTTTTAGATTGTATGGAAGTTGCTGCTAAACGCAGCTGGCAGTTGCATGTTTGCAGGAGAACAGTTCTGTATGATACATATTGCTCCAATAGGTCTGAAAAGTATCTTTGTTAACCATGTCCCACATTCCCTGTTTCATCTCAGGTGCCGAAGGATGGTAGTCGTCATTTCTGATGATTACCTAAACAGCAGTGAATGTGACTTCCAGACCAAATTTGCTCTTAGCCTTTCCCCAGGTAAGGTCATCCATGCGAGCCATATAGGGGTATGTGTTTTCCCAACAGCTTACAGTCATTGATGCTGTTTGCATTACACTAGCATCTGAAGGTCTCAGCTTAAGCCATAGCCCATTGTACTGGTCATTGTACAAATGCATAATAAAACCTACCCTGTAGTCCCTACCCTGAAGACTTTAAACAGACAAGACAGATAAGGGGGCAATGGAGAGGGAGGGGCAAAGTGAAATGATGTGCCAGTGGCAGAACCTGGGTCTCTTGAGTTTCTGCCCTGTGACCCATCCATTGACCATACTGTCTTGTGTGTGACCCATCCATTGACCATACTGCCTTACATTCACAAGGAAGGAAGAGACTTACCCCAGTCTGAAATTAAATTTTGTTGGAAAAGAGAGAAAGGGGTGAGCTTGTGGTCAAAGCATGGGACTGAAATCTCCTCCTGACTCCTGTGACCTTGAGTAAGTCTTTTAAGCTCTCCAGGATAAGGGTTAGCTGGGTTGCACTGTAGTGACTGAGATCAGGTCTTGAGGGCTTGGACCTAGAGATCTGTGTGCTGCTGTTTCCAGTCGCGAGAGGGAAGAGGGAAACGATTTAGAGTTTCATAGTTGTTAGGGGCTGGAAGGGAGCTTATAGTTGCAAGACAGCTTTGAATAACCATGGGCCTGTGTGGACTCTTCTTCAGGTGCTCGCCACAAACGGCTGATTCCAGTCAAGTGCAAATCTATGAAGAATGAATTCCCAAGCATCCTGAGGTTCATTACAGTTTGCGACTACACCAATCCCTGCACCAAAAGGTGGTTCTGGATAAGACTGGCAAAAGCCCTCATGCTCCCATAAGGCAGTGCTAAATAACCAAGTGCCTTTTGATTCAACTCTGCTGCACCTTCAAGAAAAAGGCCTCCGAGGCTCGAGCCATTACAAAATCATCAGCGCTCTGGAATTCAATCCTTGCCATGTTGTGCTGGGAGCCTGCAAGTGAAGATCGGTAGTGGCATCCGACTGCCTTAAAGCGGGTAATCACAAGCCCTCCAAGGGGAATAACATGACATGCTGAAAGCCACAAACCAGAGGTTTTGTCAAATTGGTATTTTGTTTGTTTTTTTTAAACACAGATTTGGGCTTGTAACGGGACACTGGGGTAATGTCTGCCAGGGTGACAGTAACTTTTTAGCCCCTAGTGCAGTGACTCTCAACCAGGATACCATGAGATCCTCTTAAGGGTGCCACACAAGTGTGCAAACACCTACACATGATTCACAAGGTAAACCCTGAGATTTTCTTATAGAAATCTAGGGGCCAAAGCATCCTGACCTGTTTTAGGCTTTCTGAGTTCTTTGCAACAAAAGAATTGCTCTAATATTTTTTTTTATAGTCCAAAACTGAGTGAAAACTGAGCAAGCATTATTAGAGGTGTACCTTAAGTCTGAGGCAGTTGAGAAACACTGGTCTAATGGAATCCAATGGCTTTTTTGTGATCTGCATGAAATGGGGCTCAGCCTACTGGGCAAATGACTGATGTCATGAGCAATCATTAATGTCAGCCCTTTTCTCAGCAGAGGACCCTAAGGCCAAGCTAACCCATTTGTTCCCTACAGACGACCTCTGCCACTCAGCCCTGTACCACAACTGCCCTGACAGCAAGGGGCAGTTTGTACTGCTCGTGCCCTGGCCATGCACTCAATGGGTGAAGGATATTTTAACAAGCAGAAAATTTAAACTATTTAAGCACCTCAAAGATTAATGAATGTAGCTACATTTTATCAAGCATTGGCTATTGTCGAAAATAACTGAACCCACTTTATTTTCTAGTCCCTTCGTCACAATCCTTTAAACACTTTGGAGGCCAAGCTGGCTATAGAGAGTCCCTGATTATCAAAACTCCTCTGAGACCCTTAGCAATCCAAACCTGACCACCGGTGATGTGTATTTTTTGTTGCAAGAATGCTGGGGTGGGGAGATGCTGTGTCCCCCAGTCCTTTCTGGGACTGGGGGACACAGTCCCATGAAAGCACATCTCTCAGTCCTTTCTTATGCCAATATTTGTGAAATCATGGGTCTTAAAATATAGTAGATGATCCTCATGTCAGCAGGTCACTGTTGCCACCAAGGTGTTGAGTGCCCTCCCCTGTCCTTGCTGTTAACTGCTTTTGTCACCTTGCTGATCTTATTTGTGAAGATTGAAGTAAAAAAACCACAAAACTTCAGTCTTCTCTGCCTTACCCATTATTAAATTGCCCTGTGTGCCCGGTTCACTTGGAGTCGAGCTGAGCACCTCAGAGCATCGGATGACAAATCATTTTGGTCCTTCAGACTAAAAATAGGTGTTGCATTTGTCCTAGGAGAAAAAGGGTTTTTTTTTCCCACTGCCCTAGACATGTGCAAATCCACCGTCCCTGAAATATGCAGGACAGTGTGCTATCGGTTTTTCCCTGGACTTTGAAACATTTGCTTGTAAGGTGATAGCAGGTTGTTCCCTTACAAGCGGTGTGCTCTCGCTGGCCACCCACTGGTGGAAGAGCAGCAATGCTGCACCTGTTTTGATCTGGGTCAAAGTCAGATCTGCCTCAAATGCAGTGTAGATTTATTGCCTGGCAAAGGGATGTTGGTTCAGGGACAAAAGATAAATGCCTGAAGAAGTGCCTTGAAATAATAAATACATAGGAAAGTTGTTTTGTTCTGAAGAAGTATATTAGAAATAATTCATGATCCTAATGTGAATCGGTGTAGACATCATAAATGTGCAGTGCTGCTGTTGAATCATAGAGTAGGGCTGGAACAGGCTTCCGGAGTCATCTAGTCCAACCTGCTGCTTGAAGCAGGATCACCCCTAACCAAACCAGACACAACCCAAGACAACACGGTAATCTGCTAAAGGGAAAGCAGCAGGGGGACCATGGTTGCAAACATACCGCTGCTATAAAAGTTGTTAAAATAGGCTTGAGAAATCCCAGGAAAAGGGCCATGCTCCCTGCTACAGAGGAAGTCAAAATGCCCCACTGACTGTACCAATCTGACCATGGTGTAAAATTTCTTCCTGACCTCAAATATGGCGATAGGTCTTACCCTGAGCAGAGGGGCAAGGGCCTCTAGCCAGGAACCTCCAGCAAGTCGCAGCAGGAGCATTGGCACAGCCCAAAATCCCCAGCCTTGGTTGCAGCCAACACTAATGCCTCTAAGAAAGGGTTAAAAAACCCCAAACCCCTAATACATGTAGCAGAAGGAGAGGGGAAAAATCCCTCCCATCCCTATGCGGCAACCAGCCAAACCCAGCTGCAAGGAAAATGCATGTAGGAAAACATAAGCATAGCTGCACCTAGATCATCCCCGACCAGTGCCTGTCCCACCTCTTCTTGAACACCTCCAGCGAGGAAGACTCGGCACCTTCCCTATTATTCTGCTGCCTGTCACTGTGTGTGACTGCAGCCTTCAGAGGCTACGTGATCCATGTTTTTTGCTCCCTCATCCCCACCCAGGGACGACGTTTCTGAAATAACCTTTCGAGCCTTAGGATTTCATCAAGCATTTCTTTTCCAAATTGATGTCTGGGCTTTTCATGCATCTGTATCAGTCTGTTTGACCCCTGCATGCAGGTATGTTCCACTCACCCATGGATTTGTGATTCATTTTATAGCTCGAGGAATGACGAGTTTACATTTTTCAGACAGTGTCTAATTATCAGTTCCTCTGCTTTCCTTTACAATGTTGCCAGTGCTGAGTTCTTTTGGTGGAAGTATATCTATCTCTTCTGTTTTCTATTTTTTCTCTTCGATAGGACAATAATGGTTATTCACAATACGTGGCTGTGTTTTACCCACTTCATTGTCCGTGCTGGGTTTTGGGCCAGCCCTGGTACTCTGAACCCTAATGAGAGCTTGTTAATGTTCCTGGCATTAGTGTGGGGCGGGAATGGGACATTTTTGGGTGGGCCTGTAAAACAGATATGTTTCCTACAAACACAGCATATTCCGTGATCAGTGTTTTGGGCCATGAGGATATGTGGGAATCGGGGAGAACTCCTCAGGGTACGCCAAGGTTAATGGACTCCTTTGTGTCAAAGTTGGTTCATCTCCACGTCCCCTTTCCCCAGGGCTCCCTTGCAGAAATGCCACGTGGCTGCTTGCCCTGGGGTTTCTTCATAGTAGTTTAAATATTCACTGCTTAAAAAGGCAGGGGTGCTGCAGGCTGCTGCTTCCCGGAGGAAAGAAACAGCAGCATCTTAATTTTGCGTTCATCCAGACAAACTCAGTATTCAGAACTACTGGGCAGGACTTCATGGGCTGAAGCAAGACCATGTTGTCACCTAATATCTCTGTGCCTTGCTTTCTCCACCTTCCCATCTACGAAGAAAGCCGCTGTGATTTTAAGTACACGGCGTTGCTTATGAATGGGATTTTAACGTACACATCAGCTATTAAAATCAGACCAAAAATTCATTAGTGGGCCAACATATTTGTAAATGGAGAAATAATACCAGAAATAGAAAGTCTGGATATTTATAGAAGTGCCTGCATACAGCTTGCTTTTGTCGCACACCGCGCACTAAAGTAACCTCCCAGTCTTATGCACTTGTGAAATTCTCAGACTTGTTTCGTCATAATTTGTTTGCGTGTGCGGTGTTGACAGAAGCCATATACCCATATTTATTCTAAATGCAGTCACCTGCAATGGCATGGGTGTCTCTTCTCCCCTTTTTCTATTCAGAAGGAGATTTGAATCCTGGATTTATATTTAAAAAAATAACCAATAAATTGTATAAGTTGCACCTTGTTCTCTTCTGCATTTTCATATGAAAATATCATGGTTAGGCCTGTTAATAACCATGCAAATATTTGCATTATTTTCTATCCATTCTGATGTCAGTCCTTTTGAAGGAGGGACATGTTTTCTAGCCATTGTAGGAATTGTCACCTTTTTTAAAAAAAGATTTATTTTTTTTTGCTACTTTTGGAAACACGACAAAAATAAAGACAAAAGAAAAGCATGGGCTTGAGTCTGCTTCTTCTGTATCAGAGCACTGGGTATTATAGGAACATATGTTATTGGGAGACGTTACTGGACAGTGCTTCGATTTACTTGCAAATCTCCACCTGGGAATATTCTTTTGAAGCACCCCTGAGCACGGAGCGGTGTGCAGGTCCTTCTCCACCCCATGGAGATCCCTGATGATGGTGCTTCAGAAAGGTAGGATTCCTCTTCAGGTCTTCTTGGCAAGAGGGAGCCTTCTCTTCCTACTGCTTTACTGCCTGGCATGTAGGCGGTAGAGTAGGGCCAGGGCCTTACCTGCTCCCTACCCACTTGCCCTGGGGAGGAGTGTACTAGATGTTCAGCCCCAGTCCTGCCTCTTCCCATGCCCACAGATCCAAGTAAACCCTGTGTGGCTGCGCAGAGTTGAGGCCTGCCAGCCTAACTCCTCTATGCAGACTCCTAGGGACAGAGCCATCTAACCCTAAGCTATCAGTTACTTACCCAAACACAGCACAGCACGGGACCAGGCCTAACTGAGGGAGAGAGACAAGAATGCAGTTATGCTTTACATTTGGGCAAATGCATCTTGAGCATTTTGTATGGTGCTGTTACCTAGTCTGCTTCCTCTTGCATCCTATAAAGTAGTACCCAGCAGCGGGTAGTACAAACGCGCACAGTTTGCCTGCAAAGACCGGTGCAAGATAAGCTGGAACTGAATACACTTACAAACTCCGGAGGGTGACATTTTCAAAAGCATTTAAGCTCCATCATCCATCTGTGAGACTTCAATGTTTAAGTCACTTAGGTGCTTTGGAAACACAACTTCTGCCATTAGTTGAAATGTTGCCAGAGAATAACTCAGTAGGATTAGGTCACCGGATCTCACTTGCTGTAGGTTTGTTCAATAATAAGAGAAAGAAAAGTCTTGTGCCTTAAGGTCAAAACCTGGGAGTCAGGAGAGTTATCTCCAATCCTATCTTGATATTTTCCTTGTGGCTCTAAGCAAGTCATAGCTCTGCATTCATCTGCTGAACAGAAATATTTACCTGACAGGAATATTTTGTGTGGGATAACTCAGTAATTTGCATAAAATGCTCTGTGCTTCTCAGCAGGGAGGTGATTTATGTATTATTGTCCTCTCCACGGACCAAATCCTGCTTTCAAGTACACCTTTCCATTGAGATGAATAAAGCTGCCTTAGTGTGATATAGTGGCAACTTGGTCCGGAGGGTACACTTACAGGAAGGAAGATTGCAAAGAAAAGGGACATTATTATGCATGAAAGGCAGCTGGAAAAAATGCTGTTTGATCATCTTGGAAATGTTAAAACAGAAAGGAAGAAAAAGTCCAAAGGACACATCATCTGAAAACACATGATTAGAATTTAGTGAAGAGAAAGATCTACTGGAATGAGAGAGGTTTCAACATATAAAACCACCAGTCGTGGGTTGTATACAGATACTTCCCCATTGGTAGGAATGCTTCTCCGTGCTAAATTATAGATGCCATTGTGTTAGCTGATTCCCATCAAGATTTCTGTGCAAGAGTGAAGCCTGATTGAACTTCTTGATGAGGAGTCTGGAGCTGTGCCCAACAAATTCTTTCCGTAGCAGGCTGCAGTGTGGAGTGATGTGTCCGTCCTGAGGCTGCCTCTAACAATTCTCCTCTGCTTTTTTTTAAAAAAGGATGTTGATTTTAAAATGAATTAATTTTTAACACTCTCCCAAGAAACAACACGCTCTCTATTCTGAGCAGCTCAGGTCCCAGTCAGCCAACAAACCTGCGCTTCAAACTCCTACTGAAGTCCATAGATCTGCCTGTGCAGCTGGTGGAGAAACAGGAGTCTCCTGAGCCGCTGGTTCTGAGCTTGCTGGGGCTGGTGTGAAAGAGGAAAAGGTTTGTCCTTCCTCACCTTGCACAATGATCCAACCAGATTGGTTTCAAAACTGACTGCACAAATGCATGGGTGTTCAACCCCCAGCCTGTGGGCCAGATCTGGTCCTGGCACCATGTCATCCATCCCAGGGGCTCTGCACAGGTCTGTGGGGAGTCTCAAGGGCTGGCTCTGTATGCTAGATCAGGTAAGAAAGGTGGCTTAGGGGCCTGACCTTGGCCCATGGGGTCAATATGGGGCTGTGGGCCCTGATCCCCACCATGGGCAGGGGTAGCATAGGGTCCCAGGGCTCAATCTAGCACCTGGGCCACATAGAAGTGGTGTGGGGCTTGATCCAGGTATGTGGGTCTGATCCTGGTGCATGGGTCTGATCCAACTGGTGAACTGCCCCTGCACCATCCACTTGGCTTGTGGGACCAAGAGGTTGAGCACCAGTACTCTCTCTAATGTACTAGCTGGGGTGAACCGCTGCTCTCTGCTGCTTGCAGTAAAAATGCCAACGGTGTTTGCCATGCGTTTCCATTTGTTACAGCTGAAGACGTGTCTCCCATGGGCACCAGCCCTGCAGCCAGGGCCATGCGCCTCTTCAGTTGCTACTTCTGCCATCTATTTCTAGCTTTTTCCCTTTGCTCCCTGCATGTCCTGCAACAGAGGGAAAAACTTGCACTAACCACCGTGTATTAACTTTCTCCAGTGTCTTGGCCTTTTCTCACGGGGCCAGGACACACCGGGGGGAGTAGGCAGTTTCTGGGGTATGAAAATCTAACTCCTTTCATTTACAGTCCTAGCAAGTCACAGGTGTACTTGAAAGCAGAATTTGGTCTGTGGAGACGATTGCTTTGGTGCCGATCCTTCTTCTGGCTTAAAGACGTGCCAGTCATCCAAGCTGCTGAAATGAACCTGTGTACACCACAAAGGACTGTTCCCTCTGCCCTAAATATCACATGCTCATTACTTCAAGCCCTTCTGGATTTATCCCCAGCCAAAAAGATGATCAGGCTGAGGGCAGGGTCACATGTAGTGATTTCTTGTAGCAGCTACAGGAGTCTGAGGGCAGCAAGCATGGTCAGCTTTTCCCCAGAACTGGTTTTCAGAAATTATTGTATTTGCATGGCATATCTGGCCATTGCACTTCCTATGAGTGATGATTGCCAAGTGGTCAAAATACACAATAAGCCAGTGAGTGCTTGCATGTGAAAGAGAGCATTTGTATTTGATTAATTTTCTGTCTTTGCACAGCGTTATATTGCCTTGGTACCTTCCCTTGTGCCCATGGACTCGCCTAGAGGCAGGCTATACTCCAAAGGCCCAGCTACGTATGGCAAGTGTGACGTGGATCAATTCAGCCGTGATATTAATGTCCTGCAGGGTGACAGGGAGAGAAACGATCAAACTACTGGCTACTGACAGTCAGACACTAAGGATGGGAAAACATTTGTGTCTGCAGATGCTCCCGTGTTTCTGTGACGTACGACAGTCTTCTGCTGAATATGCTAATGTTGGGGTTCACACATGGTACGGCTGTCTCTCAGATTTGGCAATACTGGTTTTCAACCAGCGTGGCGTTCTTGGAGGGAGGCAACAGGAGGCAGATGGCTGCTAAAGGCCCTTTGTTTGGATATGATCATGGGGAGAAGGTGATGGTTGAGCACAACCCGCACATGGCTGTAACCTCTTTTAGCTGGACCCGTGTTACCGTTACTGGTTTAATACCTGAGATCTCATGCTTGGATCCCTCCTTCCTGGAAGAGGAGCCAGTGGCACCGCAGCAAGAACAGGACTGATTCAGCAATGTCGGGTTGGCACACCTCCACGCCGCTTGCACCACAGCAGTTTACTCACCAATCATTTCAGGTGAATGTGTTTCAGGCAGTGGGTTGTCCACGAAACCGTGGCTGTAGCTATTTGTGGCAGACCGATAATAAACCCAAGTCACACAGGTTCATTTCAGCAGCTTGGATGACTGGCACGTCCTTAAGCCAGAAGAAGTATCGATAGCAAAGCAATTAAACTACCGTGAATTCAGTGCTTCTGCTGTGGACCTGGGGGCACATCCGCTCTTACACAAGTGTTCGTGAGACTTATTTTCCATAAGCGTGGTTGAGAGCAACTCCTTTCCCCCTTCTTAGCTTGGTGCTACTGTGAAAAAACAAACAGAGGCGAACAGGTTGGCGGTGTTTGCCCAGTGAGCAGGTGCTGGGAATGGTGAAGTGGCTTTTGCTGACAGGTGACTGATGGTTTCACCTGCTGCTTGGGAGCGGCTGTGTGGGGACGGAGCATGCCATAGAGGATGTGGACTGAGCTGGCCCGAGGGAGGGGGAATGCTTGTCACAGCCGCGCCTGGTGACGTTTGAGTTTAATTGCATGTCTGTTTGCCTGGTAGCAAAATCAAACCTGGGGCAGGGTTGAGATTGGACTTTGTGGACTGTCACTGTATGACAGGCTGAGAAAAGCAGTTATATGTGCCTAGCAAGTCCCCTTAGAGCCAACGCGTGGATTGCATGTGAATGAACCTTTACAGATGCCTTCAGCAGTGGTTTTCTACCCATGGTCTTCAGACAGGTTTTCCCTCCAGCTTTGCTGGCTCAGCTAATGCAACAGCTGAAGCCTTGCCTCAAAACTAGGATCCGCAATGGCTTTTGTGCCAGTTCATTTTGGTTTTGCTGCCTCCGAAGCAACCACACCGTAACAGTAAGGTCAGGAACTGGCAGATCTAAGTTCTGTTCCTAGTTCTCCCACAAAAGTGGTTGCTTTAGGACAACATTGCAAGTTGTTTTAAGCCAATACTTTTCAACACATCCACAAACTGTGCACGGCTTGAGACACAACCCAATCTGAAGTCAGTGGAAGAAAAAAGGTGGGGTTTTTTTCTTCCAGAAGCCCTAACAGCTGCACTTGACTGAGGTCAATAGGAGAGGCAGGATCAGTCCGAGTGAATATGAGACCTTAAGTGGGTCTCCAAAAGTAATGGACTCTTCTCAAAGTGTTTTCCTTAATGTTTTTGTGCCTCAGTTTCCCCATCTGTAAACTGAGGATAAGACCAACATTGCATGGGTATTAAGAGCCCTAGTTTATCAATATCAATTAAATGAAAGGCAAAGACATATGGTTGTAATGTAACTGCAATAAAACTAATAGCAAATGCATCCTAGTCTTCCAACCACAACCATTCTTCAGCCTCTTCCCTGGTTTAACCTTTCTCAGCAATGAATGTGTCATCCAGCTGGCATTGGTGTTTTATTGCAGGTTGGGAATAAAAGCTTTTGAGCTTGTTCTGTGCCCGCTTCTGCAAGTCTTTTCTGCTCAACAAGCTGCGGCTGGCAGGTCGTGATTTTACTTCTGCTCTAAGACGCTTACGTTGAGCACTTGTTCTCCTTTGCCAGCCAGTGTCTTGTCACTGATTTTAATTGCTCTGTGTCAGGGAGAAAGCATTCAGTCCACATAGAATTACTAATGCTAGCTCCTCACTTTCCGTTCATTTTCCCACATGGCATATATGCACGAAGCAATGTCTATTTTTTTTTTTTTGCCAGCTGCACAAGTTTATACAGGCTTCAGT